TTTCTACCTATGATTTACCATTTATTGTTGTTTTCGTCCCTATGATTCACCATTTATTGGTGATTTATTTCTCATACTTAAACAGTAAAACCATTGACGGATTCAACCCATAGGAACAAAAAACGTAGTTTCCTCAAATATTCAAGAAAATAGCATCATCCCATGTCATCCATAAGTTAAATAGATTCAAGATTTTTGTTCGATAGACTTCCACATCATTCATCTAGTCAGTATAATAAATTATCTATGTCACGTCAACTTCAATTTTTATTAGATTTATAAATAAACCAGAAGTATTTTACGCAAAGGGCTAAGTTTGATAACTGGTCGTGACAAAGACTTCTTGAAAATAAAAAATTTCTTTACAACGTTCTTATTTATTTAATTGTGAGTGTCTGAACTAACGTGTGCATCTCGATTAATCCGAAGGCCTAGAGAACGATCAAGAAAATCATCAGTGGTCTTGTAAAACCCGAACCGATAACTTCTAAAAAAAATCTCTAAACACTCAAGTTTTATTGTCAGTTGAACTACCCATAAAAGTCATCCACTTCCTTAATTACTTTTCGAATTTAAACATTATTACATCTTGATTAATTAATTTGTTTTTTAAATTCTTAAAACAAAACTAAATATTCGTATAACAAAATACATTGCTAAAAGCTTTCGATAAAATAATTAAAATTATGTTAATATTAAATATTAAAAAAACGTAAATATCATATATTCATAAACACGAATTAAGTTTTATAAATTTTGGATACAATGAATTGGCCATTAAAAACATATATTCACAACGATTATTTGTGGTCTTAGAGGGGGTCTCGACCCTTTACAAAGGGCTCAAATACATGTAGATATATTTTTTTTAATATGTATATTCAACACGTTATGCAAACCGACTAATCTTAGGACGAACATCTGCTTCGCAGATAGTATGGAGTCATCGCAAAAGGATTTTTATTTCTCTTTGGATTCAAACCTGGGATCTCCAAACATTTTTGATCTTTGGAGCTTAAATTCAAATCAATCGGACACCACCATTGTGGTCAAATTTTTAAATATCACATAAAAAGTTTTTGGATTCGAACATGCTTTTAAAGATAGATTTTTTTAACAAAACTATAATATAAATTTTGTTATAAACTTTAAAAACTATATAAAAACATGTTTCTTAAAATTAAGAATCAAACAAAATACGTTGACTTGTAAAGTAAATCACGAGTTTTATTTGAGAAGAAAACATATAATCATAACGTAATTTAGACACTTTTTTTAAATCGGGAATCAGTTTTTATTTGGAAAAAACAAATAAAAAATAATTTAATATATGGAATTTTATATCTCAAAAAAGGAGTCAAGTGCAATTGATGTTAATTTGACCTTTTTTTGTTTCCTTGGATTGTATAGGAGAAGAAAAATCCCAAGGTTCAATCAAAATAAATGTGTTTACTAAAAATAAAATATATAAAAAGTTAATATTAATAAATAATAAATAATCATTTTTTAATAATAAAATAATAAATATAAAATTAAATTGTCAAACTGGTTTCAGAACTTGATTGACCAACCAGAAGAGAATTAATAATTTATAAAAGATTTTAAAAAACTAAGAAGTTGTTGGAATAAAACTTATTTATCAAGCATTACCAAATTTACGTATTATATATATATATATATATATATATATATATGACTGAGTTATCATATTCAATTTTATGTATTTATATATACATATGAATGGAATGTATTCAGTTTATGAGTTGCATTTACCATCTTCAGTGTCCTTTTATTTTATGGGTTGAATGCACATGTAAATGAGACATCATATTCAATGTCTTTCTATTTACGAGCTAAACACATATGTGAAGAAGTCACGTTTGCATTGTACTTTTTGGACAATGTTTGTATCGATAAATCGATTAAGCATCCAAGAAATTTCAAAAAGTTTAGATTTTGTAATCAAATAGATAATTGATATACTCACATGTGAATATGTATGCACACGTAATAAAAGCGGAGGAAATACAATTAGGTTCAAAAGTATCAAAATTCCGTTTTTTTTAAATCAAATTTTGGAGAGAAAATTGATGAGGTTGGAGAAAATCGATTAGACATCAGGTTGCTTCGGGTTGAGTTATTTCACGTTGGGTTGGGTTGGGTTGGGTTGGTCGGGTTTTTGAGCACCCTAATGTTATATTATAGTCCATCAATTGGTAAAAAAGGTGGATGATTTTGTTCAAATACAAGACAAATTCAGGGTTTGATACCAGGCCCTCTTGCTAGCCTCAAACTCAAAGGGGGTATTTGGTTCATGGAATTTGGTGGAATTTGAAGGAATTGGAATGTCCAAATCTTTGACCAAATTCCAAATCTCATGTTTGGTTTACATAATAGATGTGAAGGAATCCTTCCAATTCCAATCAATTCCATCAAATTTCTTAATTCATTGATTTCACAATTCCACCGCACATACCAAAGATTTCAAATTCCAATCCGACAAATTCCTTAGCCCTCATCCATTAATCGACGCTGTATGTCGATTTGCTTTGTTCTGCTATGCTCGATCTCCTTTGCTTGATCTCATTTAAAACTAAGAATGACAACGGGCCAGGTTCGGGCCGATTATTGGTATCCCCGTCCAGAAATCGATAATTAAAACCGTCCCCATGACCGCCCTGATCCCTGTCGGGGATCTTATCGGGTCCCGCGGTTTCCTCGATCCCCGTTGGGGAATTCGTGAAGGTAAAAATCCTCTTTTTCCCGTTCACCGTTGGTTGCAACCGAACCCGAAATAGATCTAAAAATCCCCGAATTTAATATATATTATATATATGTATGTATATAAATTAAAATTAATATATATACACATATCAAGCCGGGTCGGGCCGATGATTACCGTCCCCTCCCCCGTCCACGTTAAAATCCCCGAATTTGTCCCGGATCCCCGTCCCATCCCCGATAAGATGTCTCCGAACTCAGCCCGAAAGTTTCGGTTTCAGTTTTTTTTGCTTGTAATTTCTCGTTGAATTCTGTGAACGAAACAAAAAAATTCAATTCGGTTAAGAATTCCATTCCAATTCCATCTAACCAAACGCAATCAAAAGATATGGTCAAATTCCATCAAATTCCATTTCATTCTCTCCAAGTCAAATTCATTTGATGAATTCCAATTCCATTCTACGAACCAAACGCCTCCTAAGTGAAGTAAAAATGTTACTTCAAATTGATATCTTTATAGACGGGTTTTATAGAAGGTCAGTTATAATTACTGGTAATCAAGTTTTTACCTAAAAATAGTCATCCATTCTAAAATAAGTGTCAATATTTTATTTAAATCTTGAAATTCAAAAAAAGACGATCACTCTTCAATTTTACCAACAATCACTCTAAAACTTACCGAATGTTATTTATTTTTAGAACATAAAAATAGTGATATAAGAAGATGACAAAGACATTCATATTTGTCGTTATTAGTGTAAATACACATTTCTATATAACCCACCATCATTATTTTACTGTCCCTTCACACGTGTCTTTTATATATATATATATATATATATATATATATATATATAGGGTTGGGTTCACGTGAGACCAGCCTGTTTTCGTGAGACCCGTGAGACCACATTTTTACACGTAACCTTCACAGCAAAAATACTGTGAAGGTTTAAAAAAAGTCGAAC